GCCCACCCTACAGGATCGTTGTGAGGAAATGGGGGAGGGGAGAGTGATGATCTAAAGCCGCTTTGAGTCCCAACTATGGGGAGAAGAGCAGGATATAACTAAATACGTGCAAACACAAAATGCGTCTACTGAGCATGTACGTGGTTTTCACCTCCTCCAGAATGGAGCAGTTGCAGAGGAGAGCGACGAGGGTGATCGGGGGCCTGGAGACCAAGCCCTCTGAGGAAAGGCTGAGGGACTTGGGAAGGTTTAATCTGGAGAAGAGGAGGTAGAGGGGGGAACAGGATGGCTCTCCTGACGTATTTGAAGGGCTGTCACTTAAAGGAAGGCAGGGAGCTATTCCTGTTGGCAGCAGAGGAGAGGACTCGCAAGAATGGGCTTAAATAAAGGGTGGGAAGGTACTGGCTGGATCTTAGGGAAAACTTTTTTACAGTAGGAGTTGTGGAACAGTGGAATCAGCTGCCCCAGGAGGTGGTGAGTTCCCCAACTGACAGTCTTGAAGCAACGGCTGGAGAAAGGACGACCGCTGAGGGGTGACACGATTGAGGTTTACAAGATGATACATGGGATAGAGCAGGGAGAGAAAGAAGTCCTTTCCTCCCTTTCTCACAAGACAAGAACTTGTGGGCACTCCATGAAATTGCTGAGCAGTTGAGTTAGAATGAATAAAAGGAAGCCCTTCTTCACCCAAAGAGTAATTAACACCTGGAACTCACTGCCACAGGAGGTGGTGGTGGCTACAAGCATGGGTGACTTCAAGAGGGAATTGGATAGCATATGGAGCAGCCGAGGTCCATCAGTGGCTCTTAGCCACAAGGTATAGAAGGAACCCTGGGTCTGGGGCAAGGGATGCTCTGTATTCTTGGTGCTTGGGGGCAACAGTGGGAGGGCTTCTAGTGTCCTGGCCCCACTGCTGGACCTCCTGGTGGCACCTGGTATTTTTGGCCACTGTGTGACACACAGTGTTGGACTACATGGGCCATTGGCCTGATCCAACATGGGCTTCTCTTAAAGTTCTTATGGACAAACCCTTGTCAGGGATGCTCTAGGCCAGTGATGGCGAACCTTTTAGAGACCGAGTGCCCAAACTGCGACCCAAGACCCACTTATTTATCGCAAAGTGCCAACGCGGCAATTTAACCTGAATACTGAGGTTTTACTTTAGAAAAAACAACTCATACGTTAACTTAAGATGATCTAAACAAAGTAAGGAAAGCAATCCCAAAGGCTTTCATTGACTTCAAATTATTTGGCAGAGAATTCGACACTTTAATGATGGTCTGGGCCTGGCTCGGGTGATGGCACGCGTGCCCGCAGAGAGGGCTCTGAGTGCCACCTCTGGCACCCGTGCCATAGGTTTGCCACCACTGCTCTAGGCTGACCCTGCATTGAGCAGGGGGTTGGATTAGATGGCCTGGATGGCCCCTTCCAAACCTGTGATTCTTTGATTCTATGATTTTAATCTCACAGCAACCCTGCAGGCTGGGCTGAGATGGAATGGCTAGCTCTCAGCCTCTTTAAGGCGGAGTCAGACTGAAAACCAGACCGCTCCAGGTCTTAGTCCGACATTCTATCGCCTATGCCTCCAGCCTTCCTGAAAGCCAAGTCGCTTCTAGGGTTGTCAGGCTCCAGGTGAGGGCTGGAGATCTCCCAGAATTCCAACTGATTTCCAGACTACAGAGATCTGTTTCCCTGGGAAAAAATGGCAGAATCTATAGCATTATTGGGATGGAATAGCCAGCTTGGTGCCGTGGTTA